GGTTTTTACTTGACAACATAATATTTGCTGTTCCTACGTGATGAAGATCATTTCGAAGCATTTTCATTTTATAGTATACCGCTTGGCATAACACATTGCTTATGCCATTGCCAATTGTAGTTATAGTATTCCGGATGGCTATAGTTACTGAAAGTGACATCTCGACTCCTTCGAAATAAATTTCAACAAAACAATCCATTCCATCATTTAAAACTAACTGCAATCAATATTGACGTTTGATTGTTAACGTGAAACTCAGAGTACCCAATAAAGATGAAAGGAAAAAGTATCAGACATTCAAGGATACTTTCATAGTATGAAGTAAGGATGATTCGAGCACTAAATTATACTAACACTAATTACTAAATAAGTATATAATGTATCTTTGCATGACATCTCTATGATTTGAAAAAGTTTGATTAACAGCGGAAAGGGCATAACGTTAGAGCAAAAGGAAGTTTTTATTTTTCCCTCTCCCACCTCCCCCTCCCCCCCCTCTCCCCGTAGCTAAATTAAGACTAATAAATTTACCGACAATTCCCCAATACTGACACACGGAAAAGCAAAAAATCATAGTTCAAAGTGATGACAATTTCTTTTGCTCCTCAATTCAAATATTGCAACGAAATCGAACACGGTACTATCAGGGTGCATTGGAAACTGGATAAACTTCAACCATAGCTCATAAAGTAAATGAAAATTCTAGAGAACAAATCCATCACTACACAGTTGACTTCGTCAGGAAATCGCTTGAAGGAAACTAAATAGGTAGTGGACAGTGAAATACCATAGAGAATCATGTAAAAGTTGACAAAAATAGCGATGGGACATTTATTGTCATTAGATTAAAGTTCTAGGTAATAATTTTGGATAATTTATATTCACCAAGAAATATTCCATTATTCCACGAAAATAGAAGAAAACACCATAAGTTTGAAATGGAATAGCTTGAAGAATGTAACTTATTATATTGTACAGAAATAGGACACAATTGTTGTTAATCTACCTGTGCAATTGGGTGAACTTTCCTTTTAGGTACAGTATGTACTATAGTAAACATTCTTTTCCTAACCATAATTTTTGATAGCAATTTTACAATTGCTTGTTTCACGTTGTTACGAAATTGTTTGACGAAAATTAAATTGACAGTTGGTAGCATAGCACCAACGAAGATCATGTAGCAGTTAATGAAAATATTGATGGGAATTTCAATTTCTTTGTTTCCGAGTTTGACAGCAAGCTTCGACAAGAAGTAGAAACAGAAAAATTCAATTTCCATTACACCAGAAACGAAAACTGCCTGAATTAACATCGACCGCTCATATTTACCCGTTTCTACCGTACTCTTCGCTTCACATCCTGAAGCATTCTTACAGCAGTTAAACTTCATTACTTTATTTGAGAAATAGATGAAAGAAGAAAGGAAAATTGAAATTATTTCGAAATCTCAGAGTTTTCCTAATATGTTGGAGGAAGACTTCAAAAGAAAATTTGTCATGGATAAACGCAGTTTGTGTTTTTCTTTGATTGAAAAATAAAAAAAGCCCACTGTTACCCTTGTCTTTATGTAACTCCAAGACAGCCTTTCGTCTATACCGTAAATTGCAGAATATTGGAACATATACTGCAAACATTATTATAGGTAATGCTAATGTCCATACATAGCGAATCCTGCAAGGAAATGGTCGAATAGTAGCAAGTAAAGTTGTTCACTGTTGGATATTAAGCGTTCCAGCAAAAAGAAAATTGAAAAGTGTATATTGGATTAGCAAAACTGAATTTTAATTGCAACATTAGTGAGGTGGACTTAAGATAGTATTCGAGAAATGAATGTTTAAATTGAGAAATAATGAACCTCATAAAGACAGCTCCACTTTCTGGCGTTTTTTTTGTACAGTTCATGGACCATTGAAAATTCGATGTGTTAAAAGTTTTAATGCAATAACGGAATTCTATGAGTGATATCGCTAAAAAGCATTTGAAAATTGTAAAGCGCTGTTTATTATAAACAGTGATAATAGTGTGATATGCTCATTGTGGTACATCCACATGTTGTACAGGCTGAGCATTGGTTTATCATTGATATCAATGAGGTTATAAATAGAAGAACGAAATGATCAACTTTTGATAATTTCTATCAAACTATCTACTATTTGTTTGCTGGCCATCGAATAATAATTTCT